CTAGATGACAGGTCTTTCCTGTCATTTTTTAGGTTTATGCTTTAATGACAGAAGAACTTTCAATACAAGATTTAGGAAATACGGTGTCATATCAAAGAAAACCTTAATAAAACAGCAGTGTTCAACGGTATTTAGAGGTTGAAAACAAATTAAGGCAAATTTTTAGAAAAAGAGTGAAGATAGGCGTTGGTATCAAAAATGAACAAAAATTAAATAACCACTTTTGGTGCTAATGAAAGAAGTAAAATTACAAGAAGGTTATGAGAATCATTTCAATGTTCAAAACATTCCAAAACCCCGTATATGAATGCAGCTAAAGACGCGGCAGAATTCAGTAAACACCTTATTGCTGAATGCGTATTATGCAGGAATATCGGTAGTATTGGCAGTAAAATGATCCTCAAAACAGTGTAATGGCGTCAGCCATTGTAATTCTCATCTGTACACGTCGTGTAATACATGTGTTCTGGTTTATAAGAGATTTCTGCATCAATAAATTGCTTAACTACAGTGAGTACCAAAAAGCAGAAAATTCCTTGAGTTAGAAAGTACTCACTCTGCAAAACAACTACCGCCTTTTATAGCTATCTTCCTGCCATTCTAGTTATTCAATTGCTGCCCAAAAAGATCTTTTCTGGAAGAAGTTATTTCAACTTTGCTTCACCGAGCGTAAATCCGCGATAGTAGATGAAATACGAATCAGTGACCTGACCTGCAAGTCTTTAAAACAATGACCTTTCTCTCTGTCTCCCTCTCAATCTGGGAGCATTCAGTTTTTTCTTGCATAGACATGGTTTAGCGCAAAAAAAGACAATGAAACAAAGGAAACTACGACAACTTCAGAACCCAAATAAGAAAAAATAACCTAACCAACCGACAAAAACAGGTAAACAAAGCAGAAGCGACAACAGCGGAAAACGGTACCGATGGCAACACTGAACTGTTAAACTTTTCTACTATCCAAATGAATTTTAAGACGGTTAAAACAGCCTGGTGTTTGTGCTCACTCCAAACGACTTGTTTCAAGTTTTGATAACAGTGTCGAAGAAAAGAAGTTTTTAGTAGTAGATTTTGGGTTGTATGAATTGCTCACACTGTAAGTAAGCAGTTCTTTAATAGGAGAATGCTGGTTAAGTTTTACTCCTTGATCAGATAGTTGCCTGCCACGCGGATTTGAGGTGTAGAAAACTTCTTCTGCGAATTCTTTATTGAGTAAAGCACAGAGAGAGTACAATACAATACCAAAACTTCGGGAAAAAGAAGAAGACCAAGTATTTTCGTGATAAGCTTTTTATACTGTTACAAATGAAGCAAATCGTAAATACATTAATCTTATGAAAATTTATAAAAGTACCTTTTACAACATGTTCTTACTATATATTATTTAGCATTCTTCCCAATATACAAAATTTGTTATTTGTACTTTTTGGTATAAAGTTCTTTTGTGCCCTTATCCATCACTTGTCCGGATGAAGTAGTAAGTACTGATTTTCATTGTTCATTAATCTTGAATCTTGAAGTTGTTTTCGTCCTTCCCGCAGTTGTCACTCCTGAGTTTCATTGTTAGGTGATACCTTCCGGTCATTAATTATCCAATTACTCAATGTCCTTTATCTTGGACGAATGATAATTAATTTCTTACTCGATGTCT